TCAGTAGCTCTATGTAAAACCCTCAGGAGCCCAACATTTGGATTGTGTTGAATGTTTCCTCTGGCATTAAACTCCCAGAGTCAAACCCTTTATTGAATACTCAGAAAACATGCTTTGACGTAAAAACATAAACATGAAAAGAGGTGAATTACACAATATTCAACACTGCATCAACATAGTCGTGAAAGCATTCGGGTACAATTGTTAGCTGTCAAAAGAGGCTGTCAGCACTTTGCACTTAGCACATCCAGCCAGAGAATGATCTGCCTTTGGAAGTTCTTTTCTGATGTTGTCATTGTTAAGATAATCAACGCTTCAAAATAGATTAAAATGAAAACGCTTCCAAACCAAGTCAAGCAAAGTCCGTACACCCCTGGTACGGAAGTAATACATTTGACTTTCCATTGTGAAATAAGTGCTCGTTGCCAGTGCGTTATCACTAGCCTTACACGCTCAACTAAGAATGTGCGGCCAAATTTACAAACACCCTCCCCCCCACAGAAACATCATCAGATGATAAGGAGGTGAAGGGAGATGTAAGTGAGTAGGAGCCGGCCGGAGTTAAGGAGGGGGGTGGAGTTAAGGAGTCTCATGGCTTATAGAAGGAGGAAAGGGGGGTGGGGGGGGGTCCTGAGGAAATAGACAAGCGAACACAGAGCCAGAGCCACAGCTGGTAATTTGGTGAGAGGTCACTCACAGTAAACACAAGCTTTTTACAGAGGGTCTGGAAAGGCCATTACTTCCTAGGATGGAAGAAGATTAGGGAGAAAAAGAGTACATAGACCCTATGAGAACTTCCCACTTCCTACAGTATGTGTATCGTTTGTTATTGTTGGAAAAACAAAAAACAAAATGTTCCCACAGCAAAGGCCTGGTAACACTCAAACTCTAAGGGCGTCCTCCTCATGTATAATTCTGACAAATATTTAAGGCCCCACCTTGTGACATTATTAGCTTTTCTATACAGCGTGTAATCTCCGTCTGTCATGATCCGCCTCATTTTCACTTAGTATTATGACTCCCATGGTGCTCACTCTTGCACTACGTGTAGTACAGTGAATAATACTACAGCAGACTTTAGAGTAAGCTAGAAGGTCTGACAGCCATTTAAGTAATGAGATTTGAGATTAAACATCACCTCTCAGTTCCTCATACAATGATCCCAAACAGCAGATGTCATTCTGCTCAGTGAACTGGGGGCTGCTACGGTACATTACCCCCACCTTATCTCAGAGCAGATCAAATACTTTCCCTCCAAAAAAAACCTATGTTTCTGCAAAGAAAATAAGCAACTTTAGCTGACTTTACCAAAAGGGAGTTGTTGTTTAAGATCAAAATGTAGGAAATAACACCATAACTTGCTGGGAGAGAGAGCTCCCCCTTGAGCCATGATTATAACTATCACACTGCATCCTTTCATGTGGAACAATGCAGCGTTGTCTGCAGTGGGGCATCTTTCAAAAGGCACAGCAGCATGCTTTCCCTCTCTCGCTCATCACATGAACTGAGGTTTATAATGTCAGTATGCATACAGTGATGTTGCACAAAAAAACATTCAGTTTCCTATTGCAATGCTAATAGTGTAAACAGAAGGTTCAGTGCTGCACATAACCTCAACTTCATTTCATTTTAATGTTAGTAGGGTTACACCCTATCTCGCATGCAATCTCAAAGCAAGCACGACACAACGTCGCGTTTCAATGTCATGGTCAGAAGAGTCACTTTTGCATATTTCCTCCAACTTTCACCAAGAGAATAACTGAGCGGCCAATATTAACTTGTTAAAAAATGTCCTAATGTTCCCTGTATATAGCATGATCTTTATCTGAGATTCAATTGCAACTTCAACAAAAAGCAGCCCCTGAGAGGCATAATGAAAAACAGCTGTAATAGAAACAAAGTGACTGGATTGTTAATAGAAAGTAGCTCTGCTGCTTACTTACTGATGTTAGTCTGAATATCCTCACTGTAACAGCTGGATGATGTTTGCCTGTGTCATGCCGTGTTCCATTAGCTTGCTGCAGTGTATGTCAGGAAATGATGAGGTTCAGGATGTCGGTCCATTGCCAATCTGATCGTATGCAAAATGCACCACAGAAACTGCTATCATACCCCTACCCACAAATATCTGGGTGGATACAACAGTATACAAATATGCACAGTTATATTGCCATCTTGAGAACCACTTCAAGGTGTGCAATTTTTATATTAGCATTTTATACCTGTATATAGGTTTAAGCTTGGATTTATGATTTCTCATTTATTTGATAAGTTCTAGACAGTTTGTTAAACACACCTGTAGTAAACTCAAGCAACACCATTCATGACTGGCCAGGCCTTCGTGATTAATATCTCATGTACACAAGACAAACACTGATAATGAAGGTCATGCAAAACAAATCTATTTGTTCCTTTGTCAAATACAACGTTTAAATGTTATTGGAGATAAGTAAAAGTTCCTATTGAGAGCTCACAAAGGACTGCTTCATGCTAGGTCATTCTGAATGTTACACAGGCCGAGAGTGGGAGGCATCCGACTGTTATTCCCTGGAAGAGCGTATAACAGAAACAAAGAGGGCCCAAGACTCCAGGTCAGGCAGCAAATCTCTTCAAACGGACTACTGTGCACAACGTCAATATTATATAAGTACATAATGATGTCTACTTTAGAGATGAAAAGCAAAATAAGCTATAATAACCAAAAAACTGTGTTTCATAATGGTCATAACTGTCCAGTGAGAAGGCTTCACTTGTGTTTATGGTCAATGAGTTGGCTTCAGAGTGGTCACAAAGGCAGCCCATTATTCCCTGTCCCCTGAACGTTTGCCATTCTGTCTGTTTTAGTCCTGTGAGGCAGAAAGCATCCAAGAGATAAAACAAAAAGGCACACTAGCTCATTGCCAGGACAAGCTTGCAGGGAAATAATGCTGATTTTCCTCTTGCTTTATTACATCTAGTGGGGGGATATCTTTGAATGACATCCTTTATCTTGCCTTTCGAGTATAGAAGATCTGAGTGGGCTCTCTGAGGGCAGCACGCTGTAGACCAAATTATACATTTCCCTGAACGAAGAAAGCCTTGTTGTCTCTTGGGGATTGTTTTCAGTGGAAAACACTGTGTTATGCGTCAGTGTTCTCGGAGACCTTGAGCTTCGTGTGTCTTGTCTTTTTTATAGACAGACTGGAAGCCTTAAAGTTGATCACACATGTTGTTGTGAAGCTTTAAGACACAGCAAAAGTGGTCACTATGTTTCAACTCTCCATGCCCACTTGCTTAGAGTGTCTACGTTCCGCCAGCCATCATTTTCAGCTGTAGACTCATGTGAGCAGCTGTGCCCTTGGGCTGTCTGCATATCGAGAAACAGCTGTGGGGATTCACGATACCTTAACTAATTCCACATTCTGCCCCAAGGAAAGCCAGCCATGTGAGATCATGGTTTAAGGTGTGTCCAATTAGCAGGGCCAGCTCCAAGCAGCATCCAGTTAGTTTGAATTAATTCATATGAAAATGCACCGGTTAAAGTTGAATTGAACTTGAAAGTTTTATGTTAGTTTGATTTTTGAATTGAATTAAATACTTTTACAATGATCATAGTCAAGAAAGAAAGCTCTCTGGTGTTGTTAATGCCAACTAATGTTAAATACAAATGTATGTTGTACAGTGGCGTCATTTTGAATGGAGAACAGCCATGACAATGATTCTGGCAGATTCTATTTTGGATTTCAAAAATGCAGTGTAGATTTGGGGGGGGTCACATGGAATTGTCACAAATGACCGCATTTGTAAAAAAGTGTGAGGCAGCAAGTTTATTAGCTCCAAATACTAGAAGCTTCAAATAAGACAGAGAACATGTGCGTCCCCCTCCCACACCCCACCTTATAGCAGAGTGCGGTTTACTTTTCCAAATCACATTCAAATCACAGAGAGATTTACGTTGTCTGCTGCTCTCTGCTGCCAGGGAGTGTGGCTGTGCTCCCAAATTACACAATGCTTACAGTATGAAATATGATTATAGGTCACACCATGAAAGGTTTTTTTTTTTTTTGTAAACTGCATATGATTGTCTCAATGCTATTTTTACAAACTGGAAACGACAGCAAGGCAGGGACTGGAAACTTTGCATAGCAGGGAATACTGGATTAGAAATATAATATGTCAAATTCTCCATCCCACCTCTAATTTAAATCTCAAAAACTCAGCCAAAGGAGTGAGTGGTGACTGTGAAAGAGCTCTGGAAACTCACTCCCCCTTTTTTTAATGATTCCATTTAAGCAGCTGACATCATCTCCCTGAACCAAAACTGATTTCCATCATGTCATAACGCACAGCGCCCTTTTACCGTGATTTCCCCTGACAATTGTACATGACATATCGGTATTTTATAGAATATCAGTTTCAAGCCCAAGGAACGCATGATTTCCACAAGAGCAATCATCAGGCTCATCACAGAGACAGAGGCACAATGTTTTGTCTGCTAAATACTTCCCATGACCTCTACATATGGTCAAGGCAATTTCTCAGTAAAACCCTGAGAGCAGGAAATGAGGAGAGTTCAAAGGTTGAAACGTCTGAAAAAACTGTGACTTCCCCAAGACGTACTGCATTAAAGGAATGTTATTTAGAATTTGCATTATTAAGGTGAAAACACATGCATACTTTAAACAGACTCCTATTTTAAACAGCTGGTTGCCTGCTATCTATTATTGTGGTAAGCAGCACAGGGTGTCATGGGAGGAAGAACTTGATTTTGATGGTATTATATTTGTGCATAATGATAAAAGCAAGGGCTGTGTTTCTATTTTTCATAGTTTATCTTTTCGATGATTATATATTCCAAATAATAATGTTAGTTTCATTCAGGGTTTTCTTAGTTAAAGATGAATGCTGAATATAATTTCAGAAATGTCAAGTAAAAAGGTGGACTGGACACTTGTGATCCTCTTAAATCTTATGAAGGAAATAAACAAAGATGACAGCTGGTAAATGACATTTCAACTTACCTCAGACCAGAGCTCCGTGGATGGGACTGAGATCCATGATCACCCATGACTAAACTCATCGGTTTAACGAAATCCCTCGGACTAGTCAAACACAAACAAAAAGCACCATTTTAGTAAAGCCTTACATAATAGATGTTAAAAAGGCTGGTCTAACCTTCTGCTTTCAAGTGATGCGAACTGGCAAATACCAAAATATGGGCGAATCCCACATGAGGTCACCAGTTTTTCAGTCATATGAACTGTTTTTATTAATTTCTACTGGAAAGAGTGCGAACGATTCAACATATGAAACCCAATAATAATGTCTTACCATGAATGTACTTGGCTTTGGAGGCAGTAGTCAACTTCCATCAGTCTTCAAAAAGGTAAAGTTAGTTATAGACTGCTCCAAACAGATTTTGCTGGGGTAAATGATCCATTATTCGGCTCTGAAGTTCCGTGTTCTGCGCCTTTTAGGCAAACCATTCCAGTAGTAAAATGTGCTTCCTCCTCCTTTTAAATTACAAAGTCTGGCATGTTTAAATCATTTTCCCACCGTAGACCACTCTGCCAACTTTCCCCAGCACATCCAAAAGACTGCATTGCAATATTGAGCTGCTAAAGTGGGGCGTCTCTCAGATCCAGTTTACCTTCCCTCCAGGATTCAGATGTTTGGCATAACAGCATCGTGTCCAAGTTGACATATTGGCAATTGCGCACACTGTTACTACAGCCCAACACAACCGTGACTTCCAAAACAACACAAGTATTTATTTTGACGTTAAATGTATGACAAGACATAAGGGTTGTTGTTTTGTACTTCCTTTAAATGTATGCTTTATTTGTCCACAGTGACATCGTGTGGCTGGATATGGTAACGAGTAAACACAACACAAAGACTATTAATTCCAAAGAAAAACACTAAAAACATCACGTTTAAAATATGACCAAAGTATGTGGACATCTCAACATTATGCCTAACCTTGATAATCTGCTCTATAAAATAAGCAAATAATGAAATTGCATGCCGCTTTATTCCCTAGAGTAGAATTAATTAACATTTGTCCAAATCATGAAAAAACACTCCAGATCAAATACATAAAAGGTACATATATTTTCCACATGTTGTAAACAAATTGTTTAAGGTACATTAGGTGTATTTTATACAGGTAGTGCCGTGACAGAGACATTTGCGTCTGCACAGTAGAACATCTCCATGCCATGTGAACATGTTTGAGGGTAGAGGCCTGTCATGGTCAAACCGGTGATCATTACAAAAAAGCCAACTACTATCAAGATGGTGGGTATCAAGTTTTCACCCTGGAACCAGCGGCCAGGGGATAGTTTGAGGAAGCACGCAGCTGGTATGATGAAGATCAGAGGCGTGGCACTCAGCACACCCTGGATGGTTGAAGAGAAGACCGTTAATGTAAAAAAAAACTCATCCATGCTAACAAAGATCGGTACAGACTGATTAAGTTCATATAATAATAATAATAATAATAATAATAATAATACATTTTATTTGTAAAGCACCTTTCATTGCTAAAGCAATCCCAAAGTGCTACAAGAGGCGTAATAGAAAGAAAATCACTTACATTCAGCTCCAAAACAACTCCCAGACAGTCAAAGCCCAAAGATATAGATGCACAGGCTCCAACTATGACAACTGTTATTCCCACATGTTCTACTTTTGACAAATCCCTTCTGAAAATGGCATTGGATAACACCTGAAATGACAAACAAGAGAGAGAAGGTTCTAAAGCTAACAAATTATATGTATTACATAACATTTTTTGCTGTTGGGAGTGCCTGAGAAAGACCTAGTGACATGCATTTTCAGCTGTTGTTCTTTTGACCACTCAGACATTGTGTACTTGTCAAACCTTTCTTTTAGTGACTTAGTCACAAAGCCACGTCCTTGGCTCAAACCCTCAAAATACCACTTTCCCTCACATATGTAAACGTTTAACTGTTAAATTCTAAGGTTGCCGTATGACAAAGTATTACTTACCTCTCGTGTAACAAAACACTCCAGTGGAAATGTGGTTATTATGCTGAAGCCAAAACAGAAGCGACCAAATGTTGCCAGGTTGTCATTTCTGCAGTAGTTCTCAAATACGTCTCCTGAAAAAAGGTGGAAGTATGAGTTCAAAATACATTTTTGATGTTAAAATGAAATTACTGGCTTGGAGTTATTCCAATTATTATTAATCATATATTAATACCTTGTGTGTAGCCGGTAAAGGTGGTATAGCCAGAAACAGCAAATGCAGCACTGATTATTAGTGCGGAGCCTACAGACATGTGAGTGATCCGGGACCAGTTAGCCAGTGTGGGCTGCTCCAGAGAACCGTAGATTAGAAAGCTGTTGTGGTGGCATATGAAGGCTAAAGAGACACAAAAGTGCAGAACATCAGAGTACCATTAATACACAGAGTAAGAACACTGAAAAAGTACAGCTGATAACCACAGTTTTGTCAACAAAATGCATTAAGTGTCTTTGAGTTTTCAGAAAAACGCCTATAAATAAAATGCGTTGTTATTATTATTATTATTGTTATTATTATTATTATTATTATTAAAGTTGTCGGCTTGTGTCAGCTGCTTTCAACGATTTATTTGTATTAGGTGCAGAAAAACTTGGAAACAAGCTATTTGAAACAACTACAATTTTTCTCAGTTGTTATGGCTAACATGTTAGCAAACAAATGTCTTCTTGGAATCTGGTTTTTGACCTTCTAATACATTATATTGCAGTGTATTTTAGATCTGTTTCGGTCTCCAACAATTCGTTAGAAAAATAAATGTTAGCCTTCTTGATGAACTTCATTCATCAGGTTCTTTGTGAGGCCTTTGGGGCTGGCAGAGTAGTAAACATTGGAAAGTTCATATCTCAAAAACAGCTGGGATTAGGATCAAAATCCTAAATTGTATGTACAGGTTAAAGGGTAATTCTAAAACACCCCATCATCAGCATCATGCAGACAAACTCACCAAAGGACATCACACCAACGGCCTGAATTGCATTCCACCTTGCAAATGACCACGCATTCTCTGTAGGGGGGCTAGAGAGTGATATTCATATTTTAAAGCAAAGAACACAATACATCTTGATTAAGTTTGTATTCATTAAAAAAAGAACCCCATGGCTCGCATACATAAACATTTAAATTAGAAATCCCTATGGTTAAGCAACTTGCAGAATATTCATTCATACATCTGGGGTCCCAAGGTAGCTGCTCTGATGATTACAATGATGAGGATGGCAAATGTCAGCACCATTGAGATGAAGGACACCTGGTAACACACATGAATATTTTACAGGCAGCTTCAATCACTACATGACACTAAAAGCTGTGTGATAATCAGACTCACCTTCCCAAGTTTCTCAATGTTTCGATAAAGTGACAGAGGTAGTGTAAAAGCAATGGTTGATAACAAGATCGCAAAGTGACGCTCTGCAAGTATGTGATCTGGACCAACTGCATATGAAAACATACATGACGTTTTAACCATTTGAATATGTTAAAATTCACTGTAGATGCTTAAAAGTATAATTTATTGATGTATATTAACTATAATTTGATTTGAGGTGGTACAAAATGTATGCAGAATACCTCCTGGTATTCTCTGAAATACTTTGGTCAGTGTGTCTCCAGTCGTGATGTTGTAGCTAACCATTGCTGAGGAAGGAAACAAGCATGGATCATCATTCTGTTATTCATATTTACAGTATTATTTAAACTGAACCAAAAGTCCAAAGAAAAACGACAAAAATAATAATAATTAGGCAACTATTTGATAGACCACTCAACATTACACATGACATTTGACACACCACGATAAGAATATAAAAGCAACTCACCAATGAAAGGATACAGGAATTGCAGGCCAGATAAAATCACAAATCCTGGGAAACCAAACGTGCTTTGCACTAGTGACTGATAACTGTTTGTCCCTGACAGGTTGCTTCCTTTAATTAGTAAGATGATTGAATAGTCTGCAATGAAATGCAAACATAATGTTAGAAGTATTTTACTCATTTGATAAATGTATGTCTTGATAATTATAAAGAGGACTTTAATATACCCACCTGTGATAAATGCAACAACTACCAGCAGCATCAGGCCTAAGGGGAGCCCTGCCTGGTTCAATGCATAGGGTAAACCTGTTCAAAACAACATGATTTATATATGGAACAAAAAATTGAATCATTTAATTCAAATCGTTCATGCAAAATGTGTTATGAATGTCATTCAGATAGTTTGTGTTTCTTTGCAAAACTGCATCGTGACTCCGTTTTTTTTTTAGGTTGAAAGAGTTAAAGGGGGGGGGAGGGTGCAGGCGCCAGTCATATGATACATGGGTTTACCACTGCAGGGCTTGTGTAAAAACCATGTTATTTGACAATTTAACTGAATCGTATCAGTATTTGTGTGAAAGCTACAGTTTATCATCCATATAATCGATTGCATATAATTCAGGTATTAGGTCTTGTTAGGCATTACACAGGCTACTTGAATTATGTGAGTATTTACCAATTATTCCAGATCCTATAATGGAATTTATGAAATTAAAAGACGCTGATATCATTGAACTTCTAGGCTCTCCAGCTGCCTTTTGAGGAGTTAACAATGTGGTCCCTTCTTCATTGTTGAGCTAGAAAAGTTCAACACAGAGCAGAGCAGTAATTATGATCAAAAACAAACACAAGTGTTCCTCGTGTCCGTCAACATTAGCATCTCTTACCTGCTGAGTCATGTTGAGCACCTGTTGGTCGCTGATGTAGTCTCCTCTTTGTCGTAGTCTCCTCAGTGTGTTACTCTCACATGTGTTTGCGGCTAACCGAGGTGTAGTTAAAATACAAAATAAAGGCTGACAATTTTACTCAACTAACCTCCTCAAAGAAAGTTTGAAATCTTCTCAACAGCGCCCCATGGTGGACATGTGACTATTTTTGACCTGAGCCACACACTTCAAACCACACACATATCTGATCATTTAAGATACAAATGTGGGAACAGATACATACAAGCCCTGTTAATGACAACACAATTATGTGTTTATGTGTATACGTGGAAAGGAATTTCAGTGACCACACAGACAAAAAGTATTTGCTAATACTATTTATTTGGGGAGTTAATTTTGGTACCTCACAGTAATTCACGAGGGTTAACTCTCCCCGCCATCAAATATATAAAAAATAATTGCTTCTACAAAATATGATTATAAATAAAAGGACACAAAACTAAATATTCCCGTTTCTTTTAGTGGTAGCTGGCAATTGTATTCTACTTTATTATTTATTTAACATAAATAAATCTGTTCAGAAACATTGCTATTGTTATGCCCTCATAAACTTACCAAAACCACCTTCAACTACCTAAACTCCCCCGCCTTACAAATCACAATTGAACCCCTGTCTGAAACCTTTGAGCATGTTGTAATGTAATGCAAATCAGAGCTGGTGTAATAAATATTAACTTTTGAAACGAAGGCGTGTGACACTGCAGCAGACAGGTGTCAATTAAACTAAATACTGAAAAAAAGTTTTCACTTTGACACTTGATGCCAAAATATGTATTGACACGAGCATTGAAAGATTTAAAGGATTTAAGGATTTTGCTGTGAAGCTGCCTGTTGAAAAGAGCCCTTTGTTCAGTGAAGGAAGCGATTAGAGAATAAGCAAGGAATTAGAAATAAAATGTACAAAAAAAACAGTATTTCATGTAGAGGACTGTACATTTCTTTGTAAAGATCAAATCTATTTAGTTTCGAAGTTCCTTCTGTGACCCTAATTTTGCAGAGAAAGTGGTGGAATAGAATACAAATATATATACAAATATATATTTTAATGATTATTTCCACACATGAGCAAAATGAGAGATACATTCTAAAGATACGTTTATGAATTTCCTTTCTTTTTGTATTTTTTTATCGATATTTTAAATGCATTTTTGTAATAGAACATTTCAGTTTATTATTAATTGTTTAAATCTATATTGTTTAGGCCACAGGGATGCATATACTGTAGGTTTGCATCATATGTCAGGGATACTTGTCACAATTCAAAGTCTGACAGTGCTTTATGTGTCCGCCAGGTGGCAACAGTCTCATTGTAACCATCCAGCTCTAATAACATCTTTATTATCTTTATCTTTAATTTTAACTTATATTCAAAATATATATGGCAGGGAAAGATATATATCTCTGATGTGCTTATGGTGTTTTCTCCCTTACTGTCCACGAATCAAGCACTTGTTTTATGATTTAAAACGTTCCTAAATACTGTAGGCTCCTGCTTCTGACCCCTTCCTCCACATTCACGCACACATAAACGCACACAGATAGTGTTTTACACCATTATAGTTGTGGTTTTTGCTTTTAGTTTGCGATACACTCTGTATGACACACATCTATATTCCTGACAATTACGCATGATAATGTCCACCACAATAGCATCCCATTGCCATTCAGTCAGGTCCGGCCTCACTTGGTACCCAGGAACATCCGGAAGCACCAGCACAGTGTACTCTGACTGTGGCGCGCGGAGGGGCGTATGAAACACACTCTCGCTCTCTTTCTCTCTCAGAGTTTTAGTGGAAATTAGCAGTTCTGCGCCAGGAGAAGCGTCAAAACACTTTTAACGGACGGGCAGGTTCATTTTAAACAACATTGTTTCACTTTGAAGCTTTGAAGCTTTTCCAAGCCGCTCTTATTTTTCACCTGTCGATGATGGAAAACTGATGGTAAGTTAACATAATCTCTACAGTGGTTTTAAATTGCTTTTTCTATTTGTGTTAATAATTTATGAAAAATGTATTGCTGTAAATTAGTTATAGAAGTCTGCAGCTGGGGGGGAACTAGAATAAGAGTCTATCTATATATCTATCTATCTATCTAATTATCTATATATATATATGTATCTATATACATTAACACACAGCACATAGATTTATAAAAAAAGTAATGCAAAATAATTACACAGTAATTAAGAAAACATTTTTGATGTCTTTATTTTAAAAAATAAGTCAGATGGGTATCAGTCTTGACAATGTGATGCAACCTCGGAAAATCACATTCTATCAAATTATGTTATGATGTGTTGAAGGCCTGTATGGGAAAAACGGTGATTGATATCTTGTACTTCATGGACAAAAGCTAGAGTGCAAATGATGTGCTACAATATGTTACAGAAGTTAATGGGTATGGCAGCAAGTATTAGCCCACACACTCCATCTTAGACGACTTCCTGCTTGCATGACTGTCAACATCATTAGATTAGATTCCTGTCAATTAGAGATTGGGCTGCCCTGTTTTCTTTCTATATCCAGACTGTACACACACTTACACATACGGAAAGCCTGTAAAAATGTGATTATATTCCATAACATTTTTAAGATGACTGCCCATCATCAGCTATTTTGCCAACGCCCTGAAGGAGCGAGATGTAATGTCTGATAGTCTGTAAGAGGCACCAGCAAGCATTAGTTGTGAGCACTTAAGAGCTGTTAGTGTGTTGGTCCCCTAGGAGCCCACAGATACTGAACTGTGATCACTCAGCATACAGGCATGTTGCAGGTTAGGCATCATAATGCTCATTAAGTCGGCTAAAGTCACTCAAATTGTCAAGTTTTTGTGGCAACTCCTCAGCTCAGTTGTAGGCTTGTTCAGGTGGTCAGCATTACAGCAGCTGAGGATTGACCAAAACAAGTGGAATGTTTATAACCCTAAAATCGTCTAAATAAAAGACACTCACATGACTTATGAACAAGTTATAGGTAGCTGCAGTTGTTTGTGCTGATCATGTAGCAATCCCTTGTTTATTATTCAAAATGCACCATGATTGTCTGTGTTAAAAATGCCTATCCTGCCAAGTTATGGTCCTATTAGTATGGAGTGATATACACATTAAAGAGATGATATTATGTTAGAATATCCAACTGCAGCTCAGCAATAATAAATATTGAGGATAGAAAATGACATCACCTATCTTCAACTTTTTCTATATATATTTAGACATGTCTGTTTTGCCTTAAAATGTGAACCTATTCTTTAGCCATAAGTCCCAAGCCCCCAGCCCCACAGGTTTTTCTTGTGAAAAAATACTTTAAGATAACAGTAGCTATGACTAAGCTATTGGAAAATACAAAGAGACTGATTCCCCTGGATCCCTATTGCATTCAACCGTCCTTATGTCATTTTGTTGACCTTTGTAAAGGTCTGCTTGTCTGTGTTTTCTCATGCTTGTAGCTCACAGGCTGGTATAAACTCTGCCTTCAATCATCAATTTAAAGATTTTGGAAAAAGACTAAAGGCAGCGACACATTCAGGTTTTGGAACTGTACAGCCATAAGCAACACTTTAAGTCCATTTAATGCCAATGAAAATGTGGCCTTGATATCTGTCAGATAGCTATAGTAGTGTTACTCTACAATAAAGGTAAGAGATCATTTGTGGCATCCTTTATTGTAGAGTAACACTACTATAGCTATCTGACAGATATCAAGGCCACATTTTCATTGGCATTAAATGGACTTAAAGTGTTGCTTATGGCTGTACANTTGTATTTAATTGCATATATTGAAAAGGTGTACTCTAAATAGGTGTTGACTATTGAAATAAAACACATGTATAATTATATTGAGTGGTTATAATTGTATATCTACTGATTTATCCTTTACTTAAAGTGAAATACTCACGCTTATCTAGCAGGTATACAGCCACTGAGACCTTGCCATACTCTGTTTCAGTCATATTGGTCCCATTATCGTCTGTAACATTATAGTCCCGGACACACTTGTGTTTTAAATTGCCCATAAACAGTTGTAGTCCTACGAGGGCGAAGACGCTCAAGCAGAAGACGGTGAGAATCATCACATTGGCGAGCTTCTTCACTGACTGGAACAATGCACCAACAATGGTTTTCAGGCCTGCCAGATAAAGAGTCACTTGTTATTTCCAGTAGGCAATTAAAAAGCACTGTGAATTAAAAGTAGTCATGTGCAAACAAGGAGGCATCTCTCATGTCAAAAACAAGCACCTAATCTGTTGTGTTGGAGATTTAGGTGTGTTATGGTAGTAGCAGCTAATGTAGGCTCAAACCTAATCTATAAGGCAGATACCTGGTAAACTCCCTTCTTGTAAACTCCACTACCAATTATTTTTAATTTAATTTCCAAGGTCTGTCATCAGCTCCAATGCTGATCCAATTACTAGTAGTTCATAAAACATAATCTTTTTGTCGTCACAAAAGGCATTTTATTTTCACATGTTCTGTAGTACTCTAAAATTACTGTTTTCAGACATTGATGTGTAGAATTGGTACATATTTAAAGTATACATATATTCTTCCCTTTGTTTCCACTATCATTTAAGCATCATCTATAATGAGGTAAAGATTATTAATAAAATATTATGCTTTAATAGCAAACACAAATACTTAAGCAACTCTTTTTGAATATAATTTGTCCTACTTTGGTTACTCATGACGGGTTTATGCATCAAGAATCAATGTGGCAATCAGAGGATCATGCATGTTAGTGATAATGTGCATGCAACAATCATGGGACACACCCACACATATAACATGACACTATGTCCTCATTAACCACATGCAAAGAGGAGCAAATGGCTGTCAATGAATAGTGTGAGAAACATAAAAAGCAGCTTGTTCATAACACATAAATGGCAACGATATCACAGAGTAACCATAAGATCTAGGAAAACACAAAGGAACATTAAATATGTTATGTTGCTGCTTAAGATTCCTGATTTTAGTGGTAAATTACAATGAGCAAGAGACTCAAACAGCTGAATTTAGAAATCGATCCACCAGAGACCCCTGGGATTACTTCTGTGTTTTTAGGATTGAGAATGTTCAGATTGCTTAAAGAACTCTGTGAGAATCTGGCATACATGTCATAACAGTAGCAGGAGAGGAGGTTACTAGAGGACAGCTGGAGAAAATCATGCAAGAGGCTAACTTACATGCACTTGCTCCTGCTGCTTACCTGGGATTACCGAAATAGCTTTAAATGCTCTCAGCACTCTGAATGTGCGAAGAGCTGAAAAGTTGCCTAGGTCTACAAACTCTGTTATATACCTGCAGAGAAACATAGAATTACTATGGAGAATTGACTGGGTCAACAACACACATTGAAGCCTGCAATGCTTAATAGATACACTACATGAGTATATTTAAATACATTATCAGGTGAAGCAGTCAAACAGTATACACTGTGGCATGCACATTAGTGAAGGTACAATGACAATGAGGTCACTGTGATGATGAATAAAGGGAAAGCCTGATGATATTCTATATTGTTTATTATTGCCAACAAATTACAGGAAAAGTCAAAAACCAACAATTCCCTTGGTGCCTCCATTGTTCTACAAAGACTATTACAAAAACATAAATGTGCCACATTGTTGCACTCTGGGATATTTTCTCCCATTATCGCATATATGCACTCAACATGTGTTATTTAACTTTTGTAAATAGTGCAACAGGCGGGGTAGTAAAATCCGAAGATATAAAAAAGGTTATTATTTTGCATTTTGTTGGCAATATATAAAATATGGAATGATACTAGCTTTCCCTTAAAGACATAAAATACGTATTATGAACAAGTGAAACATAAAACTACTCACGCCAACACAATGACACTAAAATCCAGCCAGTTCCAGGGATCTCTTAGAAACGTGAACTTCCCAATACAGAACCCTCGGGCTAAGATTTTTATGAGGGATTCAAGTGTATAGATTGCAGTAAATATGTATCTGTTGAAACAAAATGTAGTTGTTAATGTAGATTGCATTTTCATATTGATATACACCAGTATGTGATTCAAATAGTAGTTCATTGGGAACTTACTCTACATTCTTTATCCAGTCAGGCAGATCGCTCTGTGTCATATATACACAGTTGGCGAGGATAGTGCACATGATCACGATATTAAATAACTTGCAGGCATGTTGTCAAGGAAATCACTTATATTGTTGGGGAATTAACACATTTTGTCATCATAGTCTCATGCAAGGTGCAAATGATTCAGGGATATAGCTTAGTAACCACAGACTTAGTGAGGGCTAAACATAAAAATGATTCACGCTTATCAGAATTACATCTTGATGAAAGGATATGAATGTACCAAAATCCAAATTGATATTCTTCTAATAAGGTTGAAGGGGCTCAGGAGGTACAAGGCAGGATCGGCGTTGAAGCGGAAGAGACAATTTCCTCTGTTTAATACTATGAAAGTCTGACAGAAAAAGAGAAATATGTATAAAATAACCAAAAATGAGTAACAGTTTGTATCAACGTATATTCCTTACAAATACTTATCAAATTCTGTACATTGCTGATCAACCTAATATCAATATTTTCTATTAGCTTGGTCTTCCTGTCATCTATTATTCACAGCCTATGGGTATATACCAAGACTGCCATGTTAACAGCTGCATGCAATGACAGAGACAAGAATCCTCATTTCTAATGCAATGATAGAGACAGTAATAAACCAACAAGAAAAACCCACATGTTGAAACAATTAATACAAAAATGTAAACGAGCGTCCTTAGGTTTAACACTTCAGTTTGAAATCAAGCCAACCTACTTTATGATTCATGTAGTATGGATCCAGGTCCTCCAGCGGTGTCGACACCATGCCTTTAGGAGGGTCCCCATACAGGAGAGGAAGTGATTTGCCCGCTTCCAGGTCACGGCTGGGCTTGATCTCATTCTCATCATTGCGTTTTTTCTTCTCTTTCTTTGGTTTCTTGGCGCTCTCCTCTGTGATACGTTCCTCGATTACTTTGAGGTACTCACGACTAAAGGGGCGGAAGCTGTCTGGACCTGGTGGTACAAGCAGCTGTGCCATCTTTTCATCCTGTGCCTTCAGAGTGAACAGCTAGCCTCCAACATGAGAAAGGCCTAAGGGGTCTGGACAGAAAGGGAGATCTGATTAGAGGTTGACGAGTAATATCTGACATGAAATGGCACGTTATTGGAAACAAATAGTTGAATGTATTTTTGGCAGCACATTTTTTCGTCAGGTTGGAACTGCTTTAAATGGCGAGGACAGGAAAGTGGGTGTCTCTGATCCTTGTCCAGAGATCATCAGTTCAGGAAGTGGAAGGCTATAATGAGCCTAGAGATGGCTGACATACACATAAATTCCTGCCAGCTATGGTAAAATTAGATCTAATTATCTGCTCCTCGGTAGATAAAATTAAGATTTGACATGACAATGATCAATTCCAGGTGAGGTTCTTGCTCCTCTCCTCCATCGCTCAAATTGAAAAGAGTCCACTTTTCCCCAGAGCACTGAGATAGAGAGGAGGGAGGAATAGATCCATCGTACTAATAGGCCTGACTGCTAAGATGTGTTAGGCAGGCCTATGCAGTATAAAATATGAATGCACTACAGACTGCACTGCATCTCTCTGTGCCCTGGACAGATTTTGCCCGATCTTAACGTAATAGTGAAAGAGAACACTTCTAAACGTTGAGTCTGTGATGCTAAAAATCAATCAGAAACACACAGGTCAATCCACTGCCCACAGCACTAGTTTGTACAGTATGTGTGATGTAATTGCAACAACAACAGGAGGCCTACTGTAACTGCTAAAAAATGTTTCTAATTGACAGTATATGATTGTTCAAATCGGGTTTATACCCAGATAAACAGTACGGACACACTTGGATATATTCATAAGAGATTAAACAAATCAGGTAACTACTGATTTAAATTGGATTTTAAATCAAAGGAATTTGGTATTGAACAAAATAAGCATCTTGACTATTAACACTATTAACACTGCCATTTGTTGTTGAAAGATATACCCTGTTTGCATTGACCACACATAAATATTGGCATCAGTTATGCTGTCATCTCTGGACAGAAAGACCACACTGCTGGGTTAGATGCAGTAAATAGGCCTTTGCAAGTTCAAAGTGTTTGTTACACTTCTACAACTACAACTACTCTTATTATTTACATCTATATAACATGTCATTGTGACCGTCCATGAATTTGACTTGTGGAATTAATTTTAAAATATGACTTGTACTCATTGTCATTATGGACAAATGCCTAGACCTGTTTTTTGTTTTTGCGTAGACAAAATCACCTCTTCTGTATGGTCACTTAAATGATATACATTATATAAAAACAAACACAAACACACCACAGCAATAAAGGACTGGACATTGCTTTCAGGTATTTTAGAGACCAAACAATTCGGAATCAAGTGCACTTAACCTACCTATGATTATCTTAAAAACACAACTCTTTATAACTATAACTAAGCATATAAATATTTAGAGGAATGCAATATGGTCTTGGTAAAATTGAATTAATAAACAAGAAAAAGATAAACTTCTTGTAACTCCTCATAAAATAAAGCTTTTTTGATGTTCAAGCAACAAGGTCAACCTGCAGCGACTAACCTCTATAGAGGTATGCATCCTTCTGTCAATCGGCTCCCAACTCATCACACACAACTTGAGATATGAGCTGCCACTTTGAAGCTTCAAATAGGCCCACTTGAATTTATCTGCAACTTGTCAGCATCTTGACCCTGTGCCGACTAACCTAAAATGGATACATTAGATTCCCTCAACTCTCACTGGAACATAATGTCATCACATTAGTTTGGTGTTGCTATTCCTCATACCTTTAACTCCTTCCTGCGGATGAGCTTTAAGTGATGACTGACCTTGGCCTTAAGCCACCCGATAGAAAAGCACAGCTTA